CCCCAAGGACAAGAAGCGCAAGTGGGCGAAGCCGAGGTGGGAGATGCAGACCACGCGCAACTTGGCGAGCGGGGTTGAACCCCCCACCGATGAGGCGTCGGGCGCGTGCGGCGATTCCCAGCAGCTCCGCTGGGGTCGCAGTTTGCGCGCCCGCCGCCTTTCAGGCGACTGTTCATCGTTGCTCCGCCCCCCAGGTGCAGTTCCGCAGCGGCAGGATCGGCGTCCCTGGCAGCAACGTCAGCCTGAAGTACATCGCGGGCGATGGGGCCGACAAGGCCAGATTCTCACCGGCGCCCTTCTCGACGCCCTCCTCCGCGCTCTCTTCATTTTCGCCCCTGCCTCGACGCCCCCTCCATCCCCTGCTGTCTCGTTGCGCCCGATCGCTCCGAGGCCAGGGCCATCGCGGGGGCGGAGGAGCTGGTCAAGAAGGAGCTCGCCGCCAGGGCGCGCGGCGAGCAATTCGCGCTACGACTCTTCATCTCTCCAGGCCAACGGGGCGGCCTCGGGAGAACAAAAAGGTCGTGGCGGATATGCCGACTCGTGGCGGATATGCCGCCTTGTAACTCAGCCTTCTCACCTTCCAACTCGTGGCGGATATGCCGCCCCCGCCCCACCCCTTTGCGCTCCTCCGCCCTTCAGGCGGACATGCCGCCGCCCCCCTCCCCTACTCGGCCCACTCCGCGCCCCCGCGCCACGTCCCTGCGCCCCCCTCTCCGCTGTCAGGCACTGGATCCCACGCCAACTAACGTCGGGGAGACGCCCGCTGCTCGAACGGCGAAGGCGTTCACCCAGAATGGCCTGGGCGCGCGCGAAGGTACTGACGTTGCCACCGCCCTTTTAACGACGAAAACAAGTGAACCAAGACCTGCACATTCAAAGGGACGTCGGTTCACTTATATTTCTGGTGCCCAATGCCACCCTCACTCTGCCCCCTCCCCCGAGACCCCGTCGCAAGAACCAGCGGGGCCCTTCTGAGAGGCCCCCGAGGGCTCGAGGAGCTCCAAGACTTCAATGGGTCCATGGGCAACCCCCTCCCCCTCCTCCCGAAGTCTCGCTTCCGCGTCCGATCCATTTCGGTTCAAGCCCGCGGCCCGCGGGTGCCCGCGAGCTCGCGCGGGGTCGGCCCCCCCCCTTTCGCGCCGACGCGGGGGCTGGGGCCCGCGCGCCGAGGCTGCGCCGCAGCCACCGCGTCGCGCTCGGCGCCTCGCACTGCGGCCGCGGCCATGGCAGACAGCGGCAGCGCGTTCGACGCGTTGGAGGCAGCTGCATCGCCAAAACAAGTGGCCCCGCGTGCGGTCGCCAGGGACGCGCGCATCGCGCGCGAAACTGGCTGGCCGCTCTCGGTCGAACTGTTTTGGCGATTCGGCGCAGGAGATGTTCGGGCCAGCGACGCAGTTGCTCTCCGACCTTGCGGGCGTGGACAACAACGCAGGGGATCGGTCTTCCTCCGCCAGCGGCAGTCAGCCAGCCAGCGCGCCCACGTTGGCGGCGCAGCCAGCGCGATCGCGCAGCCCGCGGGCACCGAAGACGCCGCCGCGCAGGCGGGGGCCGACGTCGCCGCCGCGGGACCCGCGGCGGCGGCCTTTCCGCGCCACCCCGCCCTCAGCTCTCGTGCAGGAGCTCGCGTCGCACATGCGGAGCGCGACGCCTGTGGCGGAGGGGCTCCCCGAGGCGGTGGAGGCGCCTCCCAACGCGGTGGAGGCGTCCAGGACGCAGCTGCGAGCATGGCTGAGCGACCCCGTTGGGAATCCCATCGACCGGCGGTCGGAGAACGTGCTCGCCGTGCCCAAGGAGTACCAGATGAAGTACGATTACAAGAAGTTCCGCGACCGCGGCCCGCCTGGCCCCGCCATGGGCGGGCCGCAGACGTGGCAGGGCCAGGCGTGGCGCGCGAATGCGAAGCGCTGGGGGAACCGAGGTGGCGCAAAGCGCGCGATGTATGCGAAGCTACGCGGCAGCAAGGCAGCGCCGCGGGCGCGCGAGCCGCACGCCCCCAGGCCTCAGCTGATGCCGTGGGGGCCCAAGGCGCCGAACTTGCTCAAGACGCTGCCTCAGCAGGCGCCGTGGAGGACCACTGGCAATATGAACCCTCCAGCTCCGCCTCCGCCGCGGAAGGCCATGGGGCCGCCGCCGCCGAAGACCATGCAGCCGCCAGCAGGGAAGACCAGCATGGCGCAGCCGAGGGCAAGGAGTCGGCTGCAGCCGACAAGCAAGATGGCACCACCGCCAGCGAAGCCGCGCCCGCCCGCCCGCCCAGATGTCTCATTGTAAGGTGATCGTGTGGACCTGCAGGCGGGCTGAGGTGCATAGCTTCCGTAATTCGAGCGCGGATAGCTGACGCGCCGCCTCCCCCCGCCTCGTCTCATCTCATCTCTCCTCCCCTCTCTTCGTTGCCGATCTATCTCATTGGCGGACGCGCCGCCTCTCCCCGCCTGGCGGACAACCGCCGTTCAGATAAGAGCATCGGCGCATCGGGTTTGTTCTAGGCGGTTGGAAGAAGAAAAAACACACACACACACACACACACACACACACACACACACACACACACACACACACACACACACACACACACACACACACACACACACACATGCACACACACACACACACCAGTCCTTCCCTGAGCCACCCATTGGCGGCTAAACCGCCCTGAGGCCTCCCTTGGCGGCCACGCCGCCCTGAGCCCTCCATTGGCGGCTAAACCGCCGCCGCCGCCGCCGCCTGCTGTCATCCCGAAATTTGCGATGCCATCGCGCCTCTTACACAGGTATGTTTTTGTTGTTGGGACGCTGTATCGGCCCGAATCTAGGCGCGCACAGGCTCGCGGCCCAGCGGCTTCTGTGCTAGCCGCGGCTCGCGGCTCGGCGGCGTCGCTGCCATGGCAGGCCAGCAGGGCGAGAAGTCCATCATGTTCGGCTTCAAGTGCCCACAGAGCAGCGTCTGCAAAAGGGGCGGCAAGTGGTTCCAGGGAGAGACAGAGGAGGCGACCAGGGGCAAGCTCGTGAACCACCTTCGCGCGTCGCCGCACCACGACTTGAGCGAGGAAGGCGCGGAGGCAGCTGCTCTCGCAGTCGTTCCCGACACTTGGGAAGTCGACCTCGCGGAGTGGCGCCAATGGGAGGAGGAGGAGGCCAACTGGGGCTCCGCCAAAAGGCGCAGGGGGGCGCCGAAGGTCGAGCTGGCGCCAATCCCTCCACAATCCCGCGTGGAGCGCTCGCACCAGCTGAAGGACGCGTTCACGGAGGGCAGCGGATCGTCAGGCGCCGCTTCGTCCGCGGCCACGGCGGGCATGAGGATGTCCACGGCGCTGGCCAGCCAGATGTCGCCCGATAGCATCGCGGTGCTCAACGGCACCCAGTGCCGGGCTGTGCTCGACTCGTTGCGCCGCGCGCGCACTGCGACGCAGATGTGCGCCCAGATAGCGGAGCGCGCGGTGAACGCTTTCCGCCAAGAGGAGCAATGCATCGCCGAGTGCGAGGACGTGCTCGCGAGCTGGCTTGTGCGCAACGCGACCTCGTAGGTGCAGGTGCACGGCTGGCAGCACTGATGTCGCCTCAGCATCAGTAGCCTCATTCGCGCAGGCGGCGCGACGCGTCGGCCCTACACGCCCCCCTCCCACTCCTCCAACGCAATTTCAATCCACACCCCTGTGTCAGAACAAATTAGGACACCCCCACACACTCCATCCGCACTCAATTCGTGAAGGCCGCCACGCCGAGGTGAGTTTTGGCCACGCAGGCGGCCGAGTAGCCGTCCCCCAATGCAAGGCGATATGGGGGCGAGTGGACGAGCGGAGCGGGAGGAAGGTGAGGGAACTTCGGCGGATAAGACAGGTGGGCGGTTGGATGGGATTTGGCAAAAGGGCTGGGTGGAGAAAACTGCATCCGCATAAGAATGAGTGCGGCTATTTTCTGGATGTGCTGCATCGCCATGTCCGCCCACCCCCCCATCGCCTTGCATATGATGACGCTCAGGCAGCGCGCCCCGATTGCGCGCGCTCGCCCGTCTCTTCGCTGCCGCTCAGGCAGCGCGCCTCGCTTCCGCGCTCGCCCGTCTTTTCGCTGCCGCTCAGGCAGCGGTTTGAAGCACGCGGCGCCGTCCGCGGTCGGTAGCGCAGGGCGCCGCTCCGCCCCTGCTGCTCCGCTTAACTAACTCGGCGGACGTGCCGCTACGCCGCCGCCATGCACTGGCAAAAAAAAATGGCTGTTTTCATATGTTAGCAGATGTTTCACGCGCCTGATAACACCTGATAACACCTGATAACACCTGATAACATGTTATCAGGTGTTATCATGTGTTAGCATGGTGGTATCACACGCCTGATAACATATGATAACATATGATAACATGATGTCAATTTTGTGTGGTTGTCATGTTGCGCGCAATTCATTTCAGTATCCGTATCACCTCGTGCGTCCGCCACGCTTCGAGCGGCTAGTCCGCTGGCGGCCAATCCGCCTCCCTCGCCGCACCCCTGCGCCCTCTCAAGCGGCGAGTCCGCTGGCGGATATGCCGCCCCCTGCATACCTCCCTCCGCCCCTCCCTCCACCTTTGAAGCGGCTAGTCCGCTGGCGGCTACCCCGCCTCACTTACCGCGCGTCTTCTTCGTCATCGCTTCGCGCCCATCTCATCTTGGCAGCAGTTCTCTCGACAGCACGCGGCCGCGCGCGACGCGCGGCTTCTCGCGCGCCAAGGCGGCCGCGCCGCCATGTTGGGGGTGCCGCCCGCTGAAGATCACCAGCAGCATTCTCTGGCACTGATGTTCGGAGCCGCCAGGCCGAAAAACAAGGGAGTGATGATCAAGGCGCCCGCAGCGAAGCCCCGTGGGAAAGCTAAGCCATCGGGGACGCAGATGGCACTGACTGGACAGCTTGCGCCGCCGCTCGCATTGACCGATGGAGGGCCGCCGGAGGCGCGCGGGAAAAGCAGAGGCAAGGGCAAAGGCAAACACCCCGCAGCGTTGAAGAGGACGGCTCGCAAAGCTGCGTCAGCCGCAGCTCCCGCCGAGGAACTGCCTCCTCAGGGCGCAGCGGCTTTGCCACCAGAGCCGGACGACGCAGCGTCAGAGGCGGCATCGGGCTCCGAGGAGCGCGGCGACGAGATTGGTTCCGAGCTCGGCGTCGAACAGGATGAGCTTGAGAGTGCCAAGCGTGAGCTTGAGGAGGAAGAGGCTCCACCGCAGGGCGTGGTAGCCAAGGTTGAGAGGCACTCGCCCGATGCTGCATATATGAATGAAGAGCGCTCGCCCGAGGCGGCAGCGCCGCAGGCGGAGGGGGGGGGGGGGGGCAGCTCAGGGCGATCCGCCAGCAGGCGCTCCCCAGGTAGGGGAGTTCGCGGATGTGCATGGCATCGGGGATCGCATCGTGCGTTGCAACCGCTGCTGTCGCACGGCAAAGGAGTGCAACTACAGGATCAGAGCGAAGGGTCAGTCGACTTACCAGTGCGACGCGCGCAACACGAACGGGGTGCGCCTTTCTCGGAGGTTCGGACAGTGGCCGCCAAAGTGTTTCGCTAAAATGAAGAGTGAGTTCAATCAGCAGTTCCACAAGGATCTGGCAGAAGATCCTGGGCTGTCGAACCTCGATCGCATTGAAGCCTTCGTGGTCAGCTCAAGCAGTGTCCAACGGATGGAGGAGGAGCGCGTCCGCAAAGGTGGCAAGTACTTTCCGCTGAGGAAGTGGGCGCACGACGGCTTCGACGCGAAAAAGATCGAAGATAATGTGCAGGATAAGAGGTGGAACCCTGATCTCGGGGAGTGGACGCACAGGCCGCGATTGGAGGCGGCCTGGAGCGAGACAGCGGAGGCCGCAGTGCGCAAGAGGACGCAGGCGAAGCAGAGCGGCCCGCGGGCAGCGGCCTCGACGGGCGTCGCAGAGCACGGCGGCGACAAGGGCGACAGAAGCGACGAGAGCGACATGTCCAGATCCAGGCGGCGCCGCAGGCGCAGGTCTGACAGCCGCAGGAGGAGGAGGAGGCGCAGCAGGAGCAAGCGCGACAGCAGGGGCAGGCGCGACAGCAGGAGCAGACGCCGCGACAGACGTCGCGACACCGACCGCAGCAGGAGCCGCTCGCGCGGCGACCGCGACAGGAGCAAGAGCCGCCGCAAGGGCAGGAGCAAGAGCCGCGGCAGGAGCAAGGACAAGAGCAAGAGCAGGCCGTTTGGGGCTTCAACGCAGGGGTGTCGCCTGGGCTTCGCATTCGTTTTCGGTTTCCGTTCAACTCTTCAGGTTCGGATCGGGTTATTGATTTCGCTCGGCTCGAAGTGTTGTCATTTTCGGACAACCCCGAAGGCTCCGCAGGGATAAGGGCGCTGAGAAGGAGCGGGGGCGGCAGGGGGCGAAGGAAAAGGCCGAGCAGGCCAAGAAGGAGACGCAGGAGAAGAACCTGGCGCTGAAGTGGATCGGCGCCGCAACGAGGCTCGAGGCAGAGCTGGACGGGTACCTCGAGCATGAGAAGGCGGACAAGGTGCCGTCATGGGATGTGAAGAACGCGAAGGCGGCGAGGAAGTCTGTGGCAGTCATGAAGGCGGTGGCGCAGAAGCGCGCGCACAGCGGCGCGGCCTTGACGATCACGCAGGACGAGGCCATCAGCATCCAGAAGGATGCGAGCTCGGCGGCGAAGGCCATCGCGGGGATGCTCAAGGAGGCCCAGAAGCACAGCACCTGAGCGCCCCATGGTGGCCCAGTACCTCATGAAGTACGGCCTGAAAAAAAAAGGTGCCCTAGCAGGTGGAGTAGGACCCGAATAAGCCGCGGCCGCTGGGCCGCTCGTGAGCAGGGGCGGCAGTTGGGCCGCTCATGACGAGGTGTGTGATTTCGTGCAATTGCTATTGTTGGTGAAAAACATGTCTTCGTTGCCATCGCCATCCCACTCGTTGCCACCGCAGCCCTTCGTTTGGCGGGGATGCCGCCTTTCCACTCTCGCAAGCCCTTGGCGGACATGCCGCCTTGCCTTCATGTGGCGGAGATGCCGCCTTTGCTGCTCATCGCGCTTCGATGCCTCACTTGGCGAGGCGAAACGCTTGCAGAACTCCCTCCTGCTCGAGCTCGTCCTGCTCGAGGTCCTACCGCGCGAGCTGTGGCTCGCGAAGGCCAGCGACACCGCTGGGAATCCCATCGATTGGCGGTCGGAGACGAAGCAGAGGCGAAGCAGCTCCTTGGCAGGGGCGGCAATTGGGCCGCTCATGACGAGGTGTGTGATTTCGTACAATTGCTATTGTTGGTGAAAAAAACAGTTCTTCGTTGTCATCGCCATCCAAGGCGTTGCCACCGCAGCCCTGCGTTTGGCAGGGATGCCGCCTTTCCACTCTCGCAAGGCCTTGGCGGACATGCCGCCTTGCCTTCATTTGGCGGAGATGCCGCCTTTGCTGCCCATCGCGCTCGCACCGTTCCCTCGCGTTGCCCAATGGCATGATCTGCCACCGTCCCACCCCTCATCCGTAGTCTTTGTGGCTCACGGAGAGCCGCCCGAGGTCGTGCCCCCTTCGAGGTCTTGCGCCGCTATGGCGAGCATCGCGGGCAAGTGCGACGCCGATGACTTCGAGCTCATCGCGACGGATGGCAGTGCTTGGAGCTGGGCGACCATGGTGGCGCGGTTCATCGAGTGGCGCAATCGCTGCCGCCATGCACGCGCCGTTGGAGTCAAGGGCCAGATGCTCGTCGACCAGGCGCGGCAGATGATGGAGGAGGCGCGCCGTACCGAGGAGAAGGGCAAGATGATGCTTGAGATGTCGAAGAAGACGGTGAAGGACATCCCAGGCAGTATTCGGTACTTCTGCCGCCAGCCGCACCAGGAGAGCTGAGCGGCGATCGGAGCTGGGCCGATAGAGGAGGATGAGGAGGAAGAGGAGGGAGGATGAGGAGAGGAGGAGGAGGGGGATGAGGAGTTGGAGGCAGCACGCGCACCCGCACTAAGAGCCGCCAGCCGCGCCCGTCTCCGAGCTTGAAACCCGAGCTTGGCTCTAAACGGCTGCGTGCGAAGAAAAAGAAATCCCCCTTGCAAGCTCCGTTGCTACGCTCACTTCGCGCCTCCGCAATCTCCCCCACCCCACCCCCCCCCCCTCCCCCCTCCCCCCATGCCCCCCCGCCCCCGCGCTCTTCGGCGGCTACGCCGCCCCTCCCGACCCTTCAGGCGGCTACGCCGCCATGCCCTTCGGCGGCTACTCCGCCCCGCGATCCATTCCCGCCTCCACTTCCGTCTCTCTGGCTGCAATTCGTTTTTCTCAACCGCGCTGGGCCTCGCGCTGCCCCCCGCCCCCGCCCCTCCCGCGCGCGGGCGTCGGCGCAATGGGGAAACGCGCCCTGCAGGTGGACAAGCAGGTGGAGCAGCGGGCTCGACTGCAACAGTGTCTGGCCCTGCGCGGCGTGTCCGCGGCTTTGCTCGAGCGAATCGTGACTGCGCTTGGCCATGGCGACGACGCGGGCGATGCTATAGACGTGAGCGCTCGGGCCATGCAGCGATCGCAGACGGCATCCGTGGCCGATCTCATCAGCGCAGTGCGGCTGCAGCCCAAGATCGGCGCGCCTTTCCGATGGGGCGTGGCGCTGCCGCATCGGCTGATGCCGAGGCTCCTGTCGGACTGCCCTCTCTGGAATTCAATGTTTTGGGAGGCGATGCGCCATTTCCCTGTGTCGCGCGATCGGCCGTGGAGGCTTCTGCTGTACTACGACGACATTGGCGTGGGCAACGCCTTGAAGATAGATACTCGTCGGAAATCAGCTCGCGGTGTATGCGAGTTTCTTCGAGTTCGGACCCTTCTTGCAGAAGGAGGTTGCGTGGCTGCCGATCGGCACCTTGCGCGTCGTCGTGAAGAAGAGCATCGGCGGCTCGGCCGCGGCGCGGGCATTGCTTCGCGCGCTGTTCCTGGGGCCAGAGAGTCTGTCGGAGCACGGCGCGCCAATCGGCGGCGTGCACTTTTTCGCAAGTTCCACCGCTTGATTGCAGACGAGGCGGCTGGAAAAGAGACATTCTGCACCAAGGGCGCTGCAGGTCTGAGACCGCGCTTGCAATGCAAGAACGTTGTGCTGGATCAGGCGGAATGTCTTGCAGACTACGACGACGATGATTACCTCGTGCCTCTCTGGTGCGCTGACTCGTCGCGCTTTGACCCGCTGTCGTCAGACGAGTTTTTGCAGCAATATGATGATTTGGCGTCGCTGCGGGACACGACAACCAGAGCGAACATCGAGAGACTGGAGCCAGGGAGGAAAACATTTCCATCGATCCCCTTCTGATGTCCCCCCCCCCCCCCCCCCTTCCCTTCTGATGTTCCGGCCCCCGAAGGAGACGGCAATGGGCATCGCTCTGGATGACCGCTCCCTGGTGGCGTGCCAGGCGCTGCGGACGGCGGCGCCGCCGAGCACATGCGCGAGGGACCCCATGCATACCATGCTGGCCAGCGGCGGGACCTTGCAGGTCGAAATCTTTGCGCTCCTCAAGGCGGTGAGGGATGTCATCCCCGACGCGTGGGGAACATGGCGGGATCGCTGCTCGGCGCGGCGGACTGGCAGACGCGGCAAGAAACCGCCAGCGTTTCTGTTCAGCGTGGCTCGGAAGAAAGCGACCTGCAAGGCGTCGCACTTCGTGGGCAAGGCGTCGGATTGCTTGGCCGTGTTCCCTTTGATTCGTCATTGGGTGCACACAGAGCTGCGCCCCAGCGGCGCGGCGAACGCTGCGGCGCGGTCGTTCGAGGCGATGGCGAAGTTGCTCGAATTGTACATGCAGGGCAAAAGGACATGCGGCCGCAGCTGAAACGCAAACGCTGGCCTGCGCGTTCGAGGATGCACCGCGTCGGCCCGCGCGCATCCTCGAGCGCTCAGGTGGCAGGCGGTTCGGCTACGTCCTGAGGATCGGCGCCGTGCCGAATTTGATAGCTGTCTGGAACAAGGCCGTTTCGATTTCCTTGGCGCTGCACAAAGCCGCGCACGGGCCAGCCCTGATCAAGCCGAAGCATCATTATTTGTGGCACGTCCCCGACCAGCCTGCGGAGGACGGCATCTGGTTGGACGCCTTCGTACTCGAGCGGAAGCACAACCTGCTTCGGTCCAGGTCGCAGGAGATCGACAACCCTGAGAATTTCGAGCGGTCGGCCTTGACGGCGATGCTCGCCTGCTTCCTGGAGGAAGCGAAGGAGGCGCCGCGCTCCCGCGCCAAAGCGTGGCGCACGCCAGAGCTGGACAGTACGTTCGGGCACTCGGGGCGCAACCTTGCATGCCCTTTGTGGAGGAAGATGGGCTGGGAGAGGGGAAGGCGGTTTGCCGCCGAGGCGGCTCGCCGCCAGGAGGAGGAGGAGGAGGAGGAGGAGGAGGAGGAGGAGGAGGAACCCCTCCGCAGGGCTGAAACGAGGACCAGCAGAGAGGCGTCGATCGACGGCCAGATGTACGGCAGCCAGGACAGACGGCGCAACCAACCTTGGTATTTAGGGGTGCACATGCGTGTGCCCCCCCAAAAATCGAGGCGTTGCTGCCCTCAGGATTTTCTCCTGGGCGACGGCGAGGCGTACATCGTGCATTGCTGCGCGCAGGCTGGCGCCGCCAGCTACCTGCTGGTGGAGACCCTGGAATGGGTGCGCGCGCCATGCCCAGGCGCGTCCCTGTGGCGGCCGCGCGGCGACGTCGCCGTGATGCCCGCCGAGCTGATCCCGCCAGCCTGGGCGGCTTATCGGCGACTACAGGACGATGGCTATGTGCTCGCCATCACGTGAAAAAGGAAAAAACGAGCGCATGCGAGAGCGGATATGCCGCTGGCGGATGCGCCGCCCTTCGATAGAGAGGTGCAGGGGGGAGGGGCGGATATGCCGCCGAAGAAGGAAGGCGGGCTCGGGGAGGGAAGGCGGCAGGAGGGAGCGGGGGCGGGCTGGCCGCCGACAACGAGGAGAGGAGAGGGGAGGCGGTGATGGCCGCCGAGGGGAGGCAGTTTGAAGAATAGTTGATCCCCCCCCCTCTCCCTCTCCCCCCTTCCCCTCCGCGCCCCGCAGGCGTCCTGAGGGCGGCTCGGCGCGTCGACCTGCGGCGCCCTGTCCTGAAAAACTGTTGTGTTGTAGTTGTTAAAACGTTTTTTTCGTGGTTTTTCCCGAAACATAGCAATATCAAGAACAAACATGCAAAACATAGAAAGTTATGCAAATTTCGGGTTAACCGAATCGGACAGCCCACATCGACTTAGCTGACTTAGCTACTAAGTTGGGTATGTTGAGGTGTATGTATCGATATATTTGGCAGTGGTACCCGATAGCTCAGTTGATAAGATGGATGGTTCTGTGAGTAGTATGTATGGTATGTTGTTGAATATACTTATCTAACAAAACGTTAAGTAGATGAATGCGAAGTTCGATATTTTATATATGTTGAATATGTGAGGTCAACTAGCATGAACCTACATACATCTTCGTTGAAACGATTTCATCGGATATACAACGCTCTTACCGCACTTACACCCACCCGACGTCAAAAGCATGGAAGCCCCTGGAGACCATCCAGAGGCCCAGAGAGCCCCAGAGAGCACCAGGAGGCCCAGCACGGACTCAGGCCATAACGCCGCCGATTTGGTCGAATTCGGGCAAATTTGCAAAAATCGGCCGGAGTTATGGCCCAGGAGGCCCCTGGAGACAATCCAGAGGCCCCAGAAACGCCTCAGGAAGCCCCAGGACGCCCCAGCACGGACTCAGG